GCAACAACAGCAGCAGCAGCAGCAACAGCAGCAGACGCAACAGTACTACCAGTACTTGACCCCGCCGTCCCATCATTCCGGGCCCGACGTGACACCCCAGCACCTCATGCAAGCACCGGAAAGCTTTCCGACACCGTCGCCGGACAGCCCCGGCCACTGGTCGTCTAGCTCGCCCCACTCGAATAGTGACTGGTCCGAGTGCATGGCCTCGCCAAACGCGTATAACGCAGGGGGTGGTCACCAAAGCAACAAAGGCTCCGAGGCGATCTATATATGAAGCCAAGTGACGCTCTCTTCCTCGCGCGAGTAGGTCATGTAACGAACTCATATACACACATACATACAGACATACACGCATATAAGTGAACTGTGATCGACTCGTCGAGTTCGAGGGCGGTTCTCTCTGGTACATGTTAGGGGACTCTCCGGGTCGACTATGGTCGGGTCGCGAACGGAATGATAATTGTTTGGCCGTCGCGTCAGTGTACACAGACGCAGCTGTCACGATTACGAATATATGGATCGTCTGCGGAACGTATTCCCGAATTTTACTCTTTTTCTTTTTCATTTCTTTATTTGGATTAGAGACACTATTCGCGTACTCGTTCAATGATTGTGCCTTTTATCCGTACGGTGGGAGATGATTAAACGCACGGCGATATAACATGTATTTTTTCCTGTATCAAGCGATTATCTCAGCTCAATGAACAATGGTGCCTTCGACTTGCCACAGTGTGAAGACCCGATAGATAAAGTAATAGGGAACGAGACCTTGCTATCTACAATAGTATTGTACATAGGACAATAAACACGGAAGCGGAGGAACAGCCACCACGTGTATTCGGCGAGGACGACTAAAATAAGATGTAACATGTAATATTCCGGATTTAATATGTTAACGCACATGGTTCTAAATAAGCGTGGAGGGTCGATAGCGTCTGAACATTCGATCGTCGTGGCCCACTTTTGTCTATTGTAAACCGTGACGTGCTGCACGTTGAACCGGAAGAGGAATTCTTGTAATCATGCATAGGAAACGAATACGGAGAATCGTGCCTTCGAGTGTCGTAGAGTAAGGATGTTCGATGTAGGTAAATCTAATTAAATTATGTGTTTTTCCCCTTGAAGAAACGCAGCGTTTCCAAATGGCCTTTAACGATTTAACGTTTATTACCGATTAGTGGGGCGAATTTATATGTAAGATAGAGCGAAGGTAATTGTTTTGCACGGTCGACGAGAGCCTCAGAGATATCGTCTTCACCCCGCGAATATAATCGTTCCATACACAGACATTCCATTCGCACGGCGCTACTTTCTTATATTTTATTATCTCCTCCTCCTGTCGATTAATGTGGGAAATGTCCGCTGTTCGCTCGACGAAGCTTTTGAAAAATTCAGGCAGACGAAAATAATATAACAAACATTTAATCTTTATTATAGATGCGTTCAGATATGTATTAGCTTAGGAATTGTTATATCTTCTTCGATAACTTTTCAAACGAATTAATGGTATTAAACACTTTCTCATAGTGGTTGCCTGTAAGGTACCTCGGGACACTTACCAGCTATTTTAATAACCTTAGTCTAATCATCATAATCGCAGAATTTTTTTTAAATTAAATGTTTTTAAATTCACCTTAAAATGTCTTCCATTAAAAAGATTTTAAAAAGAGCACAATAATGGTAATCCAATAGTAATTCTAAACGTAAGTCTCTATGGTGTTCACTTGAATTTTTAACTCTATAGTAAAATCCATAACTTATTAGGCACGTTTATATAATTAGAATTTCCTGTAGTAGAAGTTGCTTACCAGTAATCTTAACAAAGTGAATTAACCGTCCGAAAATATTACCACTATTTTCATAACAGCATTCTATAGAGACAATACGAACAAAACAAAGATCGCTTCGTTCAGTGATTTTATATAGTCAGCTGTAACAAGTTAAAAACATCTTTCACAGATTTTATCAGACAATATCTCATAGAATCCGTCTGCAATGAATGGAAAAATTTCGTTCGAATGGCGAAGCTCACGGATGTTTCCCAAGAATTATCCTCGAACCTATTACTAACAATCTAGCGTAATTGTTAGCGTTAATGTGTACGTTTATGCGTAATAGAGTCTCTTTAAATTAAATTAAGTACGCGACGGACGGGCGGTAAGACGATTCGCTGATCTCTCATCTACCAAAGCCAAAAGAGAATTCTTAGATAACACGACGTAATCCGGCGGCGTGGCTGGACGGTGGTATGTAAGCATAATAGGGTATAGAAATCATTAATCATAGGATTGTTGCGAGAGAAAAGATCTAATTATTTTGGTTGATAAGACGGTGTTAAGATTCGTACACGCTTGCAATAATATTTCTCCACCAGTAGCGCGATTCGAAGACGACACAACGCGTTCTAATCGTGTTTTGAAAAGAAAAGATGGTATCTTCGTCTTTATTATGTTCTTTTTTTTATTTTCAAAAAGGAAATTTGTAAATACTGTTTCCCTCACCTTTTACCTTCTCACGCATCCTCTGTCCGTTTATCTTACGTACTGTTACAGTACGTTCTTTCTGTTTACCTTTTTTTTAACAATAATAATATAATTGTCTTTTCTCTCGATTTTGTACAAACTGTTTTTACATATTTTTATATTACATAAGTTAGGTACTAGTAGCTATGTAAGGCGACTCCCAATATACAGTAATAATGTTTCCTTTATCATATTATATGATCATAGAAGAAAAAAGAAATATAAATATATATATAATTAAACGTATATATATATATTTTATGTGTACATTATATAAGGTATATAAAATATATTTTATATATTTTATATATATGTGTTTTGTGTAATTGACTGTTGCATTGGGGACGATATTTCCGTTGGGTGTGTCCATAATGCAACTCTGAATTACATGGAGCTGTGTGATGGAGCTTCCCGGATTCCGGAAGACGAGGGTCCAACGCAATTTCTATGACTAATCTCGCGGAACCTATATATGCTCCTAAGGAGAATCACTTTTTTTATTTATATATAAATATATAAAATACGAGTGAGAGAGTAAGAATGAGCGTGAAAATGGGAGAACGAGAAAGTGTGCGTGCGTGCGCGTGTGTGAGAAAAAGAGAGATAGAATGTTAGAGAGAAAAACTTTTGTAACGAATTAAAATGTATCTCTTTATGCGACTGCCTTTGCGACTGTTAAATGCCACGAAAAGTCTGCCAAATGTCGAACGACGAAAATATCAAATGGAATGTTAAATATTTTTTTAAATAGATTATATCGTGAAAGATCTGATTAACGAACGAGCTCAATCGAATTCTCGAAATGGTATCACGTCACGGGATAAATATGTATGTGTGCTCGCAATGAATCAAATGATATTTTCAGTCGGTGTGCGATCGATAAAATGGAATCATTTCTTTTTATATAAATTCGGTATGTAAAGGGTATACGTAAAATAATACGGATTGTTGTGACGGGCGTAATCGAAGACAATGAATCGATGTGTTCAAAATTTATCATGATGGTATCCGCTCTCTGATGCACCGATATTCTTTGTGTTAAACGAAGGAAAAAAATGACGATAGATAAGCTACACGCTCCAATTTATACAGTTATCTATGGATAAGTTAGAAAAGAGAAACTTCCGATTATTAATAATAGGTCTTGTTATTCCTTGTAACTTGTAAAAAGTACTGAATTTTATTAGTATTAACGATTCTGTAATGTAAGGATTTGTTCGATTCTATTGTACCCCGCCTCTCCTCCTCATCCCCGTGTCCCAACCACCCCCCTTTTTCACATCCGGTACCCCCAATCCTCAATATTTTTATAAATAAGTTATGTCTTTTTAAAACAGATGTAATAATAAAGATAATCTAACATTCACAATAGGGTTGTTGTTCTGTTCTATTGTGCTATGCTTCCGCAAATCTATTCCTTAATAATGTAAGCATGCTTCTTTTTTTTAAGTATATTACAACAGATCTTACACAACAATCAAATTGTATTATAGCAATAAAAAATAAAAAACGCTGAAAATTTCCCGAACATACTTAGTCTGAGATTTTTCTTTTGTTGCGACCCCTATTAGCTTTGGGTCAAAACTTCGATCTTCAATCAACTTCATCTAAATGAGGAATGTTTAAAATAAAATTATATTCAATTAAAGAAAAATTGTGTAAAATCGAATAGGTTCAAACGAAGTAGAAAGATATAACAATATACTTGTACAGTACAGTTGAAAACATTAAAGATATGACTTAAAATGAAAGTACAATTGGCAACAAAATAATGTAACATAAATATTTATACACGATTGAGGAAATATTCAATTTGGTCTAAAATCAATTAAAAACAATAGAAGAGGTCATACGCAAGAAATATGCTGGAATATGAAAAATATTCGATGTTACATATCAGTTTTTTTAATGATTTGAATGCTGTTTAATATTAAGATACAAACAAATTAAATTTGATATTTAAAATGAAGAAATTACTGAACCGAAGTGAGCAACTCGTAAACTATAATTCATAACTGTAATATTTCTTTGTAAATAACACCTAAAAAAATTAGAAATAGGAGATTTAATAATTGAACACTTTATTAAACTAAATCCTAAAGTATCGTTCTTCTATGCTATTAATCTAAACGTCCAAGAAACATATTAATTCCATGATGAACAAATGTAAAAATACAGATTTGTTCATCAACAATTGCGAATATAGACACTGCAGACCACCACACAGGGACGTCAATCAATAATTGCTTTGGCTTCTAAGAGAAAACTGAAGATCGTAGAAAAGGTAGGTGAATTCTTTTTAGAAAAATATGTGTATGACGTAAGTGTTTTGTAAAATTGCTTTGACGTCCTCTACTAAAATCAAGAGAAAACTATATTTTTCTCAAAACGTATACATGTAAGACAAACATTTAAATTCTGCTTATACTGACAAAAACGAACAGTATTTTATTTAATTGAAAAATAAGTGTGTGTTTTCATAGAAACTTAGAATTTTTATTGAAACCCTACTTGTACAGTGCATATCATATAACATCATTAATATATCATTCATTGATCTCCGTATTAAATCCTTTCCCATACAATTGCCTTTACAGCTTCACTCTCAAGAATTAATAACATTCATGTTTTTATATTCGGTTAAATTAAATTTGATCAAAGGATTAGATTCTCAAAAATATCAAATACGAAAATAATATTCTCTACACTATAAGTAAAAAACCTAACGAACATAAAGGGCTGAAAGTAGATTGGGTTTTCATTAAATACTGCATAGTGTTGAAGAGGTCATGAAGAATTCACTTTATTAAACGGCGAAAGGAAACAAAACTGATCGCTGAG